TAGGGAATTATGCTTGAGATATATCTTTTGGCAACTCATTTTGTTTACCAAAGATTAGTTAGATTTTTACAGCGAAAAGAAATAAAAACAGTTGCAGTGTTTTACTCTCACATTACAAACACTGATTTTTCTTTAGATAAGTTTTGTGTTTATAATGAGAGATTAGAGAAAACTTTTATGGGTGACTGAAAGACATTTAAAGGAAAAATAATACAAATACTCCCTGTGGGATATATGCCTTTCTTATTGTCAATAATTTTACGCTAAGTAAGTAATAGTAATTTACCAAAAATTGCGAAATGAGTGAATTGCTTCTTCTAAAATGATATTGCTGATTGACAGTGTTTGCTTAGGAGGGGTTTTATGATCCTTTGGGTTTAGTACATGTATGTAGCCAACATACTGTAGTGTGCTAAAGTACAGTGTTATGCGAGTAAAAAAAATGGTTATATTAGCATATATCCTTCTGTTTATTATCTTCAGTATTGTGTTTTAAAGATAATATGCTTTGCTTTTGTGTATTTTTTACCTTAAATAAAAAGAAAAAGATTCCATTAATGTCATAAGAAGAAAACCATAATTCTGTGAAAACTTTGTAAAGGCTTTGTACTCCCTCAGTTGCCAAGAAGTTCTGGCATATTTCCTAACACGACACATGGGGTTTTGGGTCTTCTGTGTTTTAACACTATGTTGTTTGGGGTTTTGTTTTTGGGGGTTTTTTGGTTGGGTTTTTTTTGGTTGTTGTTTTAGCATCCTCTGAATGATCAATATGCAATCTGATGTACTATTCCTGAGTCATGCTGTCCTGGTTTTGGCTGGGATAGAGTTAATTTCCTTCCCAGTAGCTGCCATAGTGCTGTGTTTTGGATTTAGGATGAGAATAAAGTTGATAGCACACTGATGTTTTAGTTGTTGCTAAATAGTGCTTACGCTAGTCAAGGACTTCTTAGCTTCAGGTGCTCTGCCAGGTGCACAAGAACCTGGGAGGGAGCATAACCAGGACAGCTGACCCAGACTGGCCAAAGGGCTATTCCATACCATATGACATCATGCCCAGTATATGAACTGGGGGGAGTTGACCAGGGAGCAGTGATAGCTGCTCAGGCACGGGCTGCGCATTGGTCAGCGGGTGGTGAGCAATTGCTTTGTGCATCACTTGTTTTGTATATTCTTTTATCGTTATTTTTTTTTCTTCCCTTTCTGTCCTATTAAACTGTCTTTATCTCAACCCATGGGTTTTACTTACTTTTTTCTGATTCTCTCCCCCATCCCACTGTGGTTGGGGGAAAGGTGAGTAAGCAGCTGTGTGGTACTTAGTTGCCAACTGGGGTTAAACCACAGTAATCCTTTTTGGTGCCCAAAATGGGGCCGAACAGATTGAGATAATGACAGATCTGACCAGAGCATGCTAAAAGAAATTTATTATAAGTATTCATTATATTAGTTTAGTAGTCACTGGTCACAATGTTGATTTATTTGTTCTCGAAGTTGTCGTATTTGTTCTGAGAGTTGTGTTATGTAATACATAACTTACTTGCTGTATATACTGTTTATTAGTATTTATGTGCTGTTTATCACCTCTGGGAGGTGGATTAAGGTTACTGCTTTGCTGTACTGTGTAACACTGGCTTATGGTGTGATAAAATTATTGGTCATGAGATCAGTCTGGTATTTGTACTCAGCATTGCAGTCACCTCTGTACTTCAGGAGCCATCTATCAGAAATTACTAATAATTACACTTTTTACTTTCTCTCTTCGGAGAGCCAGCCTATGGGGAAGACACCTTCTTCCATGTTCGCCTTCTCCTCCAGGCTAATTACAATAGCTCTTGAGAATTTTTAATATCCTTGGGATGTTCAAACCAGCATGTTCCTATTGCTGTGTCTCCTAAATGTGTGTCAGGTCTTGCTTGTGTTTAAACAACTATTTAAGAATACTGTGGCTACTCCAATCCCAGTGACAGGCACTGTAGCTAAACCAGAGAATCAACCCATGCCCGTATCAGTCGCCCCCATGTACAGAAAGAAATCTTAGAAGTGAAAGTCGGCTCATTTAGTAAGGGATGAAGAAGCTTCTCCTCAGAGGGCCATCACAAGAACAGGAGGAGGAAGAGAAAGAATTTCCTGCTTCCCCCTGAGGAAGAACACAGCAGGAGAGTTCCTCGTCTTCCTTGGAGGGAGAGGAAGAACTCGTAAATGAGATGGTAACCACCCAATCTCTATCCCTGAGTGAGCTATGCAAAAAGATTTTAGCCGTCATCCAGGTGAGCACATTGTCACCTGTCTGCTCCGATGCTGGAATAACGGGGCCAGTAGCTTGGGATTAGAGGATAAGGAAGCCAAGCAGCTGGGATCCCTTTCTAAGGAATGGGGGCATTGACGAAGCAATTGGAAAAGGGTCACAAGTCTTCAGCCTCTGGAGGCAACTCCTGTCATGTGTGAAGGAAAGTTATCCCTTCAAGGAAGATTTTACATGTCACCCAGGCAAGTGGGCCACCATGGAGAGAGGTATCCAGTACCTGAGGTAATTAG